GCTTCTGCGTGGTGCATTTAAGAGATTCACTCAGGGAGGCTTTAAAGAACACAGATTGGTGGGCTTCGCCGCGCGACCCAAGCTGCCCTGGGACCTGCAGTTTTAAAAGCTCCGAGGTAAGTGCTGGTGCTGTCCGGATTGAGTCCTGACGGAGGCGCCTGGCTTCCTTCTGCTCTTCCCCCTCCTAGGAAGGCTGCAGGAGGTCATGATTTGCTGGGAAGACGGAGGAAGAGGCCTGGGTCCAAGGGAAGGCCCTCGCGTGGCCAGGCCGTGAGAAGGTGTAAGCTCCAGGGATGCTCTCGCCGCCCGCGGGAGCCGCATGCTCCGGCCTCAGCTTTCTTCTCTGGCTCAGGGTTTCTCCTCTGGAAGCCAGCGGAGAGTGAGAGCCTGTCTGGAAGATGCAGCCTGGCCCCGGTGTGGGAGCCTAGCGGGGGTTTAAAATTCAAGGGAGAGTCGCTCCAACCTCTTGCTGAGGGTGACCTTAAGTCACTTAGGAACGAAGCTACTTCTTCTCTCGGCCTGGAAGGGCAACACCCAGCATTATTCCTGCACAGCAATGTTCATTTGACAAATAGATACGCAAAAACGTTTCCCCCTCATTATAAGCACAGCAATGATTCTAAAAGTAAGAAAGATACAAAGGAGAAATAATAACCTCCCTAGTGCTCAGATATACAGAGTCTGCTAAAAAATGTATATACACTACACACTTTGGGAAAGAAACGTGGTACGATTTTTTTCAACCGATGGCGTTACCCTCATATGGGGACCCTAGAGGATGTCCTATGTCACAGAAAACCCACGACACTGCCGGCCCCTAGAGAAAACACTGAAAACACACGTGCAGCCATCTCAATGACCGAGGTCACCCAAGCAGCCGTTCACCGTGCTAATAAATGTCTGCGAGCTCATGGATCACTCTGAGCACCTCTTGTCATTGTAGAGGCCAAAGGCAACTCGTACTAATCTCATGATGTCCAAATAAATTGAGTAAAATATTTATACAAGCTTTTCTTTTCCTTGAACTGTGTGTGTGTGCGTGTGTGTGTGTGTGTGTGTGTGTGTGTGTATATATATATATTTTTTTTTTTTTTGTGGACATCTGTATATGTTTCTACAGAGCTTTCCTTTTTTTTTTTTTGGTACTGGGGATTGAACTTGAGACCTTGCATTTGCTAGGCAGGCAGCGGCACCACTGAGCTAAATCCCTGCCCCCCCATAGATCTTTCCAGACTGTTTTGTAAACATATTTACACATAAAACTGGGATTGTGCGGCTCCTATTTTTTTGCTTTCTAAAAATGTTCCACGTCATTTTTATAAGTCAATTTTATTGAGATATACTTTACATTTCATGCAATGCTCCCTTTTTTACAGTACAACTTGATGAGATTTAGATTTTATACATGGCACTTAGGTTACAGACACTGCGCTCAACATAAAGCTTTCTATCACTCCCAAAACTCTGCTTCCCTCTTCAGTCAACCCAAGCCCCGGGCAACGATGAACCCACCCTTGATGTCACCAGAAGATGGGTCATTTCTACATTTTCATACAAACGAAGTCATGCGGTGTAAACTCCTTTTTGCATTTGGCGTAACGATTTTGGTACTCATTCGTGCTGTTGCAGGTATAAATGGCTTATTCCTTTTCATCAATTATATGATGTAGAGATAATCTACATTACAATTCATTCACCCTACTGTTTTGCGTTTTTGGCTTTTATGAATAAAGCTGGTGTGAACATTGGTGTAGGGTTTGTAAGAACATGTGTTTTCATTTGTTTTGGATGAATACCTGGGATTTGGGTTGCTAGGTGAATGAGTGTCTAACTTTGTAAGAAACCATGGAATGGTTTATCAGTCTGTGTTTGTAGCCATTCTAGATGTCTACACGTGGCTCACAGGGCTTTTGTAGTTTGGTTTTATTAAAAAATCCTATCGGTCCTAGTACAGTTACCGTAGTCAGAGAGAACGCAGGATTTGACTCTGCTGCTCCAGTCCTTTTCTCTGTGGCTAGAATTAGTCTCCCCAGAGCTGATTTTGGAGCCTTTGGGACATGGCGACAGCAGAAGTATGAGGGCCAGCGGGCGGCACTGACTCAGAGCAGCTGGGTGTCCATTGCCCATGGCCAGGTCTCCCGGATGCGTGAGTAGAGGTAGTGATTTCTCTGAATCACCTCCAGGGCTACTCTCCTTGGGTTCTCCTTGGTTCATTCAGTAAACATTAATTATGCTCTTCCCATGTGCCAAGGAGAGCTGTGAGTTCCCTTGGCCGGGAGGAGCCCTGGCAGGAGACGGTGGCCAGCACGGTGCAGGACACCCTCCCTGCTGGTCAGCCAGAAGCTTATGAGAGATTATTGTGTGTGTTGGGGGAGCACCAGTTCCGCCCAGGATTCCGCCGAGGATTTAGCTAAAGATGAGAAGTGGAGAGAGGAGAGGAGATAGGAATCCTCAGCTGAGCTGTCCAAAGTCCTCTTCCTCCCTCCCCAAGGGATCCATCATCTCAAAGCATGGTGCTTTCTCTTCCTAAGATCGCATTCGTAAGCAGCATGACCATTCTGCCTCCTAAAACTCCAGCCCCCAGAGCACTGTCCAGTTCAGGCTGTCACCACGAGGTTTCGGGGTGATTGCTCCAATCTCCCTGCTCCAGACCCGTCCTCTTCCTCCCCTCCCCGTGGCCAGAGAGACTTTCCCAAAGGGCAAAGCTGATCAAGTCACCTCCCTGCTCAGTCCCCCACTGCCTTTATAAAATCCAGCTTCTTACTCATGGTCCACCGGGGCTTTCAGGATGGGAGCCAGTGAACCCTCTAGTTCTGTCCCCTTCCCTTCCTGTCCATGAGGGATGGCTCTGTGCAGCCATTTCCACCTTCCTTAATCCATAGGGCGATCCACAGATATGAATGACGAGGCCCGTGTGTTCGAAAGGCTCCTCCCCTAAGTCACGACAGCAAAGAAAAGCAAATGTTTTGAAGGACTCGAATCAATTCAGGGCACTGAGGCAGCCACAACGCAACCAAACACACCCATGAAAGAGGACTTTGTCAAGCACTGTGTGTTTCAAGTCCTGGGGTATATTCTGAGGGAAATTCATGGCGATACCACTTTTACGGTAGTGCACGTAAAAAGATTTAAAATGTTCACCGTATTTTTCGACTGCACTGTGTACATCCTGCTTTTATGTCTTTAGCTTTCAAGCTCATCCTTTTCCTGCTTTTACCACGGTTTCACCCGGCTCCTTGGAGGATTCAACTCGGCCATCAGACGGCTTTGGTCAGTCTCCCAGCTTCCCCACCCAAAACCGCGGTCCTGTTTCTCCTGGTGCCCCCCAGAGCCAGCACAGCCCTCGTACAGCACCGGGAAGGCTGTGCCACAACTGCTTCCAGATGTGCACGTCTTTCTTCTACATGTGTGTCCCTTGTGGCTGAAACTGCAGCTCTCTGTGTTTGTGTCCTGCACCTGGAACCCAGGGCTGGCTTAGCTGCATGGATGATGAAGGAAAGGAGGGCGGAAAGGGTGGTGCAGGGGCTCAGCTTCGCCTTTGGCACTGAAGACCCAGAAGAGAGGCAAGACGGGCTCCTGCAGGAGCAGAACGCCACGGCTTTGTGCTGGGAAACCCAGGGCTCGTTTCTCACTCGCCTCCGTCTGCGTTATCTCGGAGAGACAAACCTGGGAAGCTGTCCCGTAACCTCCCATCTTTCCTCTTCACCCTTTGGATCCTGGAAGCAATTTTCTTCTCAGAATTGTTCAAATCTCCAAGGGTCAGGAGGACCCTGGTGTCGCACGCACCTCGCCAGCAAGGAGCACGCAACACTCAGGATTCTTCTGATGCACGCTTTATTGGAGTTTCTTCTACAATCTTCAATGGCGGAAAGACCCCGAGCCGGATGCAAGCCTGCCTTTATATTCACCCGGGCGTCGTGGCCTGTTTCTATTGGTCAATGCCGGCCTGCATCATTCTGACGAACCAAGCGCCTCATCTGCGCAAGCGCAAACCACCGTCACCGGCGGACTCAAACCCGGAATTCATGTAGGGCATGAAGAACCCGGAAATAATGGCGCGTGACACCCTGGTGATCCTTCTGAAGCTTGGGAGAGGCGGGGGTGAGGGCTGTCCAGGGCTGGGTGGAGTGATTGTCCCGGGCCGGGCTGGGGCTGCTATGGAGCCTGGCAGAAGGCGGTGTCACAGCTGAGGTGTGAGTGTGGCTTTGATAAAGTCACCTATGCAAGGTCAGTCCACATAGCTGCTGTGGAGAAGGGACATGAAGGGCACACGAAGGGCAGGTTGCAGTGTGATCTTCAGCAGGTGACAGCCTCCGCAGACTCTCCCTCACACTTTGCCATCTGTACTGGGGGAAAATTGTCTCTGCCCCACGGACCTGCTGGTGGTTTGAAATACGATTGTCACTGTACGGTGCAGTCATTTGAAAATCCAGCCTCCACGTCCCTTCCTGGACTGGGTTTGTCACTGCCTGGCTCTGCCAAGCCACATGTCCCTGTGGAGTGAATCCCAGGGCACAGTGACTTTGTCCGTGTCCTCTCGTGCCCGCTGGAGTGAGGTCTCTGAGGATGGCGCAGGAGGCCACGTTCACGCGGGCCGGCCCTGTACCTAGCCGGGGCACAGTGAGGATGAATTCTAAGTTCCTTTCCTCTTTCCTTGTATGTGATGCTGGGAAGTAGGGGCCATCCAGCTTCCGGGTGATGCTGCTTGTTCTGAGACTACCTGTGGCTCTGAAGATTCCAAATTTAGCCGGCCAATAAACAAACTTCTTTATGGGTGGATAAACAACTCCTAGATCAACAGACCTTGGCATAATAAGATGTTCCTCTGCAAACTGGTAGGAGAGCAACGAGGAAAAGAAGCAAGGTTCCCCAAACAGCGTGCCCCAGGGAAGGAGTATAAAAGAGCAGGCCACAGGGGAGCTGGCACAGTCGGGCAGCCACCTCCTGGCATAGTCAGGCAGCCACCTCCCCACACTCACAAGAAGCACAGCCTCTCCACCATGCCCGGCAGCTGCTGCCCCAGAAGATGCCCTTCCCTGCCAGCCGTCTCTCTCTGCTCCACTGATGTGAGCTGTGGAGCGCCGCTGTGCTTGCCCAGTTCCTGCCGCAGCCAGACGTGGCAACTGGTAACTTGTGAAGACAGCTGTGGGCCCACTGGGTGTGGCTCACAGTGCTGCCAGCCGTCCTGCTCTGAGGGCAGCTGCTGCCAACCCGTGTGTTTCGAAGCGACCATCTGCCAGCCGTCCTGTTCTGCGAGCAGCTGTGCCCAGCCCGTGTGCCTGGAGGCCACCATCTGCGAGCCATCCTGTGCTGTGAGCAGCTGTACCCAGCCCGTGTGCTTCGAGGCCACCATCTGCCAGCCATCCTGTTCTGCCAGCAGCTGTGCCCAGCCCGTGTGCTGCGACGCCACTCCCTGCCAGCCAGCGATGCTCTGTGTGCCCGCTTCCTGCCAGTCCGTCCTCTGCGAGCCCAGCTGCTGCCCGGCAGTCTGCACGGTGCCCGCTTCCTGCCAGCCCATGCTCTGTGAGCCTGTGTGCTGCCAGCCGGTGTGCCCCACGCCCAGCTGCTGTCCCTCCGTCTGCTCTGCGG